TTAAAATATTCTGTGAATCCAGTAAAAAAAATTAACACGTTCACTTTATTGATATTTACTGATGATTATTAATTATTTTTGATATGTATATAAATAATGGAAAGCAGGGCAGGTTAGTTATCTTTTTATATTATTGGTAGTGGCACCGGATAGCGCTCTGGCGATACCTGCTATATTCTTTCATTGCGCTCGATCTTGCGATGCTGGTTACCGTTCTTCATTGTCGTGGAATTCATAGTGGTGACCGGACCGAATGAGATGCTTTCGAGCATCTTCTTGAGCACCATCGTTTGGATAGTTGCATCGACGTAATCACATAAACAGTTTTCTTCGCGTTACTTTTATGCAAGTTTCTGACTATTTCATCCCACGTCATCACATATGGAATTATTTCCGTTCTGCAATTCATCTCTGCTCCGAGCTCATTAGCCAGCAGTTTATACTTTTTCTTTTTCCCGTTGTCAGCAGCTGTTGTCACCCTCTTCAGGGATGCCAACGTCTACCAGGATTACTTATCAGTTTTTATTATGATTACTTCATATCGCTTCCAGGATACCCGTTCGATTCGCTTTTATATTGATTGCTGCTCTTACGTATCGACTTTTATCTCCACTTTCTCATTCGCGACGATCTCCTGAAGAATGTGGCTTCTTTTGCGTGGTAATGCTTACAGACCATACTTCTTTACAAGATCCCAAATCGATGCACCGCAGCACCTCATAATGTTTTCTAGTATATAGTCATGATAAAATGCTTTTTCACATTACGTTGCTAAATCTAAGCTCCCTGCAATGTAGCACGTATTTTTCTCAGCTTCAAACATATTCTTTATCCTGAAGATGGGCACTATCGTGCCTCATCTCGTGAAGGTTGTGATTCCGTATCGCAGCTTATCGACCACTGAGGTTAACTCATTACTCCATATCTTGTACAGCTTTGTGTGGCAAGCTTACTTTTCTAGCCCGCTATTCAACAGCGTTTTCTAGGCTTCAGATGTGTTTTCAGCAATAAGGTTTCATTTAGTCTGTGGATAGAATACAGTGATTGCGAAGCACGTGTTATGGGCCTTCTCCTGCTTCAAAATCGCCGTCTTCCTGATGAATAGTGGCGTTTCTACAAACACATCATGAAGCTGCAAGAGGAATTTTTTAGTAACTATCTGGTATCACAGTTTGTAGTTTTAAAATCTTCTGGTTTGAAGCACCCAAATGTAACAGTTTATTAAACTAATGGCATGCTCATTTACTGTCTTGATAATGTTCTTGCCCTTCAGTGCAGCTTTGGTTAATCACTCACTTCTCCCTAAAATCTCTGCCGTGATTAACTGGTTCCAACGCTTTCTTGACTTCATACCAGGAGGTGTGTAGTTCATATTTTCATATTTACAATCAGGTCTATCAGTACCTGCTCTTTCGCACTTTGAACAGTTCCTAGTTGATTCTCCGCAGGTAGGCCCCTCATGACAGTATCCTACTGCACAGTTCGCGTTATACAATTCGTTAACTTATGAACGTTCGACATGCAGGTTATTGGCCTAGAAAATTATATATATATTTAATTTACATATTCATTCTTCATTATTTACATGCCGATTACTTACCTGTTTCTGAATTAATTTTTGTTTAATTATGATCTTGTAGTTTGATTCACTTTTAATATTGTTAATTTTCAGCTATTATGGACCTGTCAATATGGTAACATTTAATGTTGGTTATCATATTGAACACCATGATTTTCCATATGTTTGCGGCAGCAACCTCCCCAAGGTTTGTATTTTATGGTAAAGTGTGTTTGTCTTCATAATATTCAGGATTCTCAAGTCATAATGTAGTCCATTGTTGATCTTTTTTAAACCAATTATGTGAGCTCATCTTTTTTGCTCTCACAGTCGAAATCGGGACATATCACTGCATTTGCATCTTCACTTATTTTCCAGCTTTAAGGATTAGAAAAGTTTTATTTGATCTCTATGAAATGGTAAGATTAGAATTCTTCGATAGTTAGGACTTGACAATTTCATACAGGATCTTCTTCCATTAAGGCAAATGCTACTTAACTGTTTTCAAAGATTTATAGATCGCAGCCATTGCTCCCGAATATTACGAAGATTACATGGTGCATTCGAGTTGGATTTATATGATTTATGATTTTCTCACAAATCCTGATATGTCTCTATATTCTCGAGTCAAAAGAAAAACTGTGAAACCTAGTGATGTGCGCTTTTTTGATAGTGGACCGAATAGCTCATACTTCATCTACAAGTTCTTTGCATCTGTAAGTAAATTTGCCATTACACATTGATATCTAATAGAAATTTCGGCGTCATCTTTAAGAAAATGTTATAATTTCAAGGAAAAATGCAAAACTTGCCTTGCAGTTTTTTTTTCGTCATGATAATTTAAGTGCATTATACTGTCAAAAAATCGTCGGAAAATGCTCATGCAGTCCTTTCTTTCAATTCTGCTGCCTGTTCATCAAGTTGACCAAAAAACGTTCCCAATCAAGCAGTTTTCAAAGTTTTGTCCGCAGCGAAATTTTACTATTTCACTGATAAGAAAAGTGTGGTTTGTGAAAAGGAAGCCTTCGCTTTCTGATTATTTTTTAAAGTGCTGTTTTCAGTTATTCAGTGGAAAGTTAATTTCAAGTAGCAGTAAGACAAGTTGAATTTGTTTTCGAAAATCATGTCGCAAAATCAATACTTCAGCTGTCCATGATATTGGCGAAGAAAGAGTGCCTTCAAATAGAGTTTTCTGCCATTAAACTTGTAATATTGCACATTTTTTGTCGATTTTATTTGCAATACACAGGTAATTAATTTCATGACTAGAGATCAGAAATAAAAAAAATCTTCACACTGGAACGCATCATACAACATACCAGGTGTAATTTTCATTTTTACTTCTTTCATATCATTCTACATATTTGTTTTGCGCTACACTCTTCACATTAAGGGGCTTTAAACTAAAGGCGCTCTACATTGTTGTTCAAAAGGGGCAGAAAGTAACTAGTAATTTCGGAAACTGGCAAAATTATTTAGATTTGGATTATAAAATCCTTCTTATGACGAAAAATAAAGGAGTTTTAAGCATGATACGCCAACAAAGTAAAACAGATGGAATGATACTTACTGCAAAAACTTCAGTCAACAAAGGCCGTTACAAACATGAACTGTAAACATAAACATAATGCTTTTTGCCGAGTAACACGAGAACTTCGGTTTTGAGTGTATTTCCCTTCATTAGAGAATTCACCAGAGGCAGGGACTTGTGTGGGTAATTACATATTTTTAATAAACAAACGATGCGTTGACAATGTGGTTCCATGGTCAGACTCTGATTGAGAATTGGAACAAAAATATGCATAACTAGCAGGCTCTAATGGTCATGACTTCGTCTATAAATGAACAATCTGAGCTAAAACATAGTCACATTCTTATCAAAAAGATTAACATTGTTATACAGCAATTTGACTCCTAACCCTCTGCCATTTCATGCTGCCACACGAAGAACAGTCCTGTAATAGTTTTGTGACTCTATGAGTAGTGCAAGTCTCGGTTGCAAATGACTAGTCAAGCACAGCTTTATATGTTTTGAGCACTGTGTTAAGTTTGTACTGCTTTTGGTACTGTGGTTATTTAACTCATCCTATAAGGTTACATCTATAAATAGGATTATTTCTGCCATAACTGACATAGCTAATATTCATAACTAAAAAGGAGAATTATTTTTGTAACCTAAAATTAGGGTAAACCCTTCATGTATCTACGTCTACACTTAATCCACTGCACTTGTTGCTAATAATTTAAATAGACTTTGAATAGGACTCAATTTAATTACGCTTTATCCCAGAAATAATTTTTCAAAACTACTAGCAGTTGTAGCGTTAAAATTTCTTTTCAATTCTTCCCGCCCAACTCAAATACTTCATTATTTAACATGAAATTTTTAGTTTTAAAGCAGCAAACGAAGGATTAAGCAGATTACAAAACGTTTTAATGCTACGTTTGTATTGGTTGAAGCGTCTGCCTTTAATCGTAATTGTATTGACATTGCTTATCGTACTCATTCGAGAAATTAATCATTCCCAATACAATACTGGTATTATTCTTTTCTAATTCTACTTCTACCATAGTAAATATTAAACCTTTCAGTTTTTAAAAAAGCTTTTCGTACAACAGTTGAACTTTTTTATAGATTTCGCTACTCATGAAAGAGATCATGGTGATTCTCAATTTATTTCCAGTATCGGTATGTATTCACAGCTCTCAATTTTTTATATGAAAAAGCTTTGTAAAATATAGTTGCTGGTATTTGTTTTTATATTTATAAATTTTCATTTTTACGATCAGTAAACCAAATACGTTTTAGAATGTTTATTTTGTGTACTTTTGTAATCTTAGTTTAGACAGTGAGTGCTTTCAAAACGTTCTCTGTCCTGAAGGTGGAAAAACAATTTTGCTCAGAGCAGAAAGTCGGATAGGAGCTCCGCTTGCTTGTTTCAATAATAAACGGTTTTTTTTTGTAAACCGAATTTTTGACATTATATATAATGCTCCTGATCAGATTTTTGTTCATACTATACATTGAATGCTTTTTGTAGAGTTTTATTTGCTTATTTTGTTTCTTAACTTTCTGGGAATTATGAAAATTTTCAATTTTAATCGTAAAAAAGTAAACTTTTTTTTTGCTTATAGGTTGTTCGACAACTCGAAGTTAGTCAAAGGATTTAATATTGCTGTTTTAAATTGTATGTATTACAGTTTTAGTTAAAGTTTTCCATAGTTTTTCGTGTGTTATTTTTCAATCAATACTAGTCTACTGGATCCTTGATGAAATTCAAGTATACACGGATGATTTGAATTTTTGTCGTGGTATAAAGACAGTTTGGAAGAGAAGAGTAGGTGAAAATTGGAATACCCAGTGCCAGTTTTCTGCAAATCAAATTATTTTTACATCTTTTCTGGAGTGTTTGCTTTGTTTTCTATGAATTGTTGTATTTGTTTTGACAGGTTATGAGCATGTAGTTTTGCAAAAAAATTTTCAGATGAAACAGGCGATGTCAGTGGTATACATTATTTGAAGATTCAAGAGGATGATAGTTCTGTTTCAAAACTGTTAACCCATTTACGAAATGAAGATGTTATTGTGGGAACTTCATATGGCGATGTTGCAGCGAAGTAATTCTTTCCAAGTTTCTTTTAGAAAAACTTGTAGTACAGAGCTTGATTGCCTTAAGATTGTTTTGATAATTTTATTTGGTGTTCTAGCATTCTAGTCACATATAATTTTGATTTTGCGTTCAAAGTAAGCAGAGGATTTCATCTCTACCTCTTTTTTTTTATAAATTTGTTTTAAGTAGCTATTTTTTGCATTATATATAGTTTAGAATCTCATCAAAAACTCGAAAAATAATGCTTTCATTTGGTTTGTCATTGATGCAGTACAAGACGCTGACAAGCATTGTTTTCGTGGGACGGTTAAATCAGTCAGCTGCTTTCGAAAAGGTTATTACTTTCAGTTTCGGAGCAATATCAGCTGTTTGCTAAAATTAGACTTCTTTATTATGACTATATTTCCTCTTATACTATTTTTTGTATTTGTTAGTTCCTTGAAAATGGCATAAGATTACGAATTTTTTTATCCTTTTTATTTTTTAAAGGTCACTTCATTGGAAGTAACAAAACCAAAAAGTTATGTCAAATGCTTAACATTGAAAGGTATGATATTCCTCTTATATTTTGTGTGATAAATCGAAACTTTCCTAATGAATAACATTTTTTGTACTTGATTTTAAACCTAATTTGAGCTACATTCTCATTGCGCGAAATACTTCAGTTGTCATCATGAAAATAAAAATTTATCTTTTTTTAATATGTTTATTAAAGAAATATCTTTAAGAAAGGAAGTATATTTAGTATTAAAGTGAGAAATAAGCTCTCCACTGTTGCATAAAAACATGCATAGGATAATCTGTATTCTAAAATCTCATTAACTACATATTAGCTTAGATGCATTTTAATTAATAAATATTCTAAACACTTATTTTTCCTTTTTAGAGGGAAAATTAGCAAATGCCACTGTAAATATATCAGAGCCGCAGGATAATAGTAAACAGATTGCTGCAAAATTATCTCCTCCCAAAAGTCAGGAACTAGAAATAATGCTAGGTTCGGAATGGGTGAATTGTGGTTATTCGAAAAATTGTTCGCAAGGTCATGATTTTGTCTCTCGAATCATTTTTTTACCACAAAAATTATCTTGTCCAGCTTTTTGTAGAAATAAGTTTTTCAATTTTTTCTTGTAATTATATCTTATCGAATTTATTAATTTAACTTTTATTAAGTAGTTATCAAGTTGAGAGATATGGGATATGAAGATTGCGTTGAATTACAAGCTATTATTTAAACCATAATTCTGGCTTTAACCTTCAGTTTCAGATGAAATCGTGATGTTTTTTTATTCGGGAATACGGAACAGTGGTTCACCGCAAATATGCATCAATGGAAGATTGTAAGTCTCAGTTTGTTTCATACAAAAATTATAATGAGTTCTTAAATACTTTAGTGCCTAATTTTCATTAAGGTTTGATTCAGATGATAGATATGCTGGGCTTCTTATCCTAACGTAATGATATTTTGCTTCTAAGTCACCATATATATATTGTGGTAATCAAGTTTCCGAATTTATTCTACTAAATTTTAATATCAAAATATGTGTATGTTTTGAGGGTCAGGTATTTTTCCTATTGTAGCTAGCCAAATGAATAAAGTTTTGCAGTATAATAGATCGAAATTTGAATTCTGCTGGTCGAGGACTTAATTTAGTTGTAATTGATCCCAAAACTCATCAAGTGGTGCGTACTGGAAATTACGACACATACTTACAAGGCATGGATTGCTTTAATATCGATTTACTATGGTTTTAATTCAAGAATTCACATTCTTGTTTTCGTTAATTATATCTTTTGCAGACAGCTCATCACTGGTTTTATTTCTGGAAAAACTCTCGGCTGGAGAGATTCTAGCTGTAGTTAGTTTCGATGAAGCCTCCAACAGGTTTGTAAATCATTAGTACGATACTTTTTTAATATTTCCAAACGAAAAAAAAATATTTGTAGGTTATCTGATATGGCAAAGCATATTTTCTATGAGTTGGGTTCAAGTCTCATTTATCACCTCAAATTTCGCGCTTCATGGTATTTTATTGGCCAAAAAGGAATTGGTGGTTACACACCATTTGAGGATTTGAATTTAGCACCAGGCAACGATTGGGCCAAGCCAGTTCAAGTGACTGTTTGTGTCCCATCAGTGTGTAGGTTAATTATTGTTCTGCAGTTTTTGGTTGAAATATTTTGGTATTCAATTCTTTTCAGTAGATGGATTGAAAACAACAGATAATCATTTTTCCAAGACTCAAAATATGCTTAGAAGACACTTTTGCTCTCGATATAATGGTTATGGTGAATTTTGTGATGGTAAGTTTTTTAACCTAGAAAATTATCTTTCTATATCTGACTTTCACAGCTGTCAAAATTTGTACATACTTTACTCAATATTTGCTAGAGTCAAAATTAATTTTGTCTGACAGCACTTTGAACTTTTGATTCCTGCCATGGCGGGAGTTATACGGGTTTCTATTTACCAACACTATCGAATTCAGAAAGCCGTCTTGATCTTCCACTGACACCACGCAAAAATCACACACAGATGTCAGCTACTGATCCTGTTTATTCGGTTCCCATTTTGCTTGCTGGAGGTACATGTGTGAATTTATTCTATCCGTATTTAAATTTTTTTGCTGTAGTAAAATGTTCACATGAAACGATTATGAATAAGCAATGGTATCTTTACTGCATTAGTCGAATTATTTCCATCTCAAACTGTCGTATTTGTAGGTCTCAATATGAACAATATACGTCTGTGCCTAGAAAGTATTTTTTATCAAGGTGGTGTCAACCTAGAGCATGTCGTTGTTGCATTCGATTCCTTTTACAATGAAATATCTGATTTAAGTGCAGTATTTCACGTTAGAGCGTTGCCAATTAATAATGTCGCTTCTTATCAAGGTTAATGTGAACTTCATTCGATTTGTCTTATTGTTTTTTGAGTAACTTGAATGTTTTTCTAAAATCTTTCTCAGGAGTAACCGAAGAACATTTATAGATTTCGTATTAAAGGCTATTGACCGTGTGTTGATGTTGTTCCCATCAGCACTGTGTATAATTGTTATTGAGGAAGACATTGTTTTATTGCCGGGCTTCTTATATTTTGTCGCGCAGTTGCTTCCACAATTTCTTCGGGATGACACTGCAAATTTCATACTTACTTTCAATGAAAACGGTAACTGTTTTAATTTACCACAGTCTCAGTATTGCAAATTACTTCGTTCTTCATGCTTTGAAAGCCAGTTACCAAGGATTTAATTGTTCATATAAAATTCATTGAATTTCTCTAAAGTTTCATTTTAGCAAAAAAAAGTGTTTATCGCTCCTTAATTTTGTTTTGAAATGACTGGTATCAAAAATAAGTAGTTAAAAATTGTAGTATTGGTCGCAAGTGTTGGATGCTTCAGCTTCTAAAAGGCAAAATTTCAAAACAGGAAATTTTAGGACTTGGACGTCGTAGCTTATATGCTTCATCTGCATATCGAGTTGAAAATGTTATTCCAACTGGTGCTTATGTGGTAAAAAAGTTGTTCTATTCTGAATATGTTGCGAATCCTGAGGTACATCGTGATAATTTTGATCTGAAAGACTATTTACTGCGTATAATGGCTTATATGCTTTGAAGTAACTTAGTAGTAATAGAATAGTATGAGTTAGATCATGGAAATTGCTATTGTAAGATAAAGATGCAACTGAGTATCAAGTTTGAGATATACTTTCTGTAAATTGTATATTTCAACTATGTTTGTGAATCATTCGTCAAGCTTCTATTTTTAAAGTGTTGTAAAGGAATGGAATTCAATTGGGGAATTTCTTATCTGGCCGATGTGTCCCGCGTTAAACCTGTCAATGTATTTGACATCAGTTCGTTTGCAGAGTATGCTAACACATCGGAAGAACAACTACCTGGATACGCTGATTTTCTGTTACTTCATTAATTTAATTTTGTTACTTCCTTATTAATTATGTAAGCAGTGTCAAGTATTGAGTCCAGTTCTCATTCTGGAGCTTCATATTATTTTTTTGTCATTATTGTATTGTTGCGCCAAAGTTTAATTTTATTTCTTTTGCTTTATTTATACTAAGATTCTTTATTATCTGGTCAAAAATTGTAGTATAAGTGAAGCATCAGTATTTCTATGTTATTTTTAGAAATGGTGATGAAAAAGTGGATAATGCCAACCGATTAGATGAAGGAAAGTATGATATCGACTTGAAAGCAGTTATTACTACGGGTCACAAATTTCATGTAAAGGAAACTTTCGATTGTAACGACAATGAATTTGTTGCACGTAGCAAAGATTATTCCAATCACAAGACTTCCTTTTCAGTAGCTGTTAATGCTTCTCGCTCGTAAGGGTTCCAGCACTTTACTAATTAGTTTTGAGGGAAATTGAAGATTCATCAGTTGTTTTTATGGATGATGTAATTGCAGTAAAATAAAATAACAAATCTTAAATATCACTTGGTGATTCATTAAAACAGTTAAAAATGGTTTTTGAATGAACTTGCGATTTTAGAGCCTAAACCACCTCTTTTCCCATAATTTTAAGAACTTCATGTGTATAATCTTATAGAAAATGAAGATTAAATCCTAAAAATATAATTTTTCAATTCATTATTATCATCATAAAACAGGTAATACATTATTCAGTTAAGGTTATAATTGTATTTTCTGCTAACCATTGCTACGGAAAACAGAGTCAATTTCTTTTTTTATGCTGCACAGGTATTATATCTAATACATATTTTTTAGTTCTATCATCATTATGCATAATGTAAGCACTGCTGTAGTCTCGCATATACATCAGTGTTTTCACCTATACGTACACGACAATCGTACGCTAGGTTCATATAAAGGAACAGTGAGGTAATTATTGTTTATAATTGATTTTCTTGAAACATTTTGCTAGATTCTTAACAGAAGTTCTTTTATCGGACTAAAATTACTTCAAGTTTGAAATTTAGTCGAAAATCTAAAATTCCTTTTCAGATTTGTAACTGAACATGGACCATACGTATTGGTTGCAACTAGCAGCCCATTTTTCAAAAACAGTTGATAAATTATTTAACAGCACAACATCTGTATAGTTTATAAATAATTACAGTCTCATTTTATTTTATACTGTTTTTCTCCTACCATGTTTTCAAACAGTTTTTCTCCGTATACTTCTAGCCTACATTGTGTAATATTTCTCCACATATTGTTTAAGAAAACATGTTACAAAATAATTATTAGTGATATTCTTTCCAGTACTAATATTTGCTCAAAGATTGATAACTTAAACGCATTTTTTTGCTGTTTCAAGAAATATCAGGAAGATTCGCAATTTTATGTTTGGATTTAACAGTTATGTAAGATATCGCTGTAAGTAAGATTGCAATTTCTCGATATGGTGATGAATGCTGTTTGTTTGTTCCTTTGACCTCTACCTGTACTGATGTATTTTTTTGTTTAATTGTATTAGTAATAAACCGAAAAGAAGTTATGTAGGAAAATAGACTTTATTTTAAATTTTCTAAGTTTTACTGAATCATTTTACGTAATGCATCATTTTTCGCTACTTAATGCTAGCGTATTATGTACAGTTTCTCTACCTTCATATGCTGTAAAATGAGGAGGTAAGCATTTCAGTTGTATATGATTTTTCTGTCTTTTATATATTACTGTATATTTTTTGTTTATTTTATTTGCAACATAAGTCATGATTAACATAATGTTCACAAGATTCGAAATAAAAAAAATCTTTTTACTGAAATCCATTATACAATATACCAGATGTAGTTTTTATTTTTACTTCTTTTACAACATATTATATTTTTTGTACTAGACGCTTTATCAGGAACCTTTACATTGAAAGTGCTCTAGATTGTTTTTAAAAATTGAAGTGAACAAAAGGTGGGCAGTTTTTTTTGAAATTGGTAGCAAAGTTACTGAGATGGAAGAGATTGCATGGTTGGTGGCGGGTAATTATTATTCGTAGAAAATTTGGTAGAGAAGTTAAGATCAATCTGGAGTAAGTCAAAATGTTTAAATGTTAAAAAAGGAACAAAATATCTTGAGAGTATTTGAGAAAACCTCGATGTTTTCAATCTTTTTGAACAATTGTTTTTTCCACAATTATGTGGGTCGGCTTACTGAAGCTTGACGTTTTAATTGTGAAGGTGCTAGCGTTGAGTATGATTTACAATGATAACACATTTTTCTGTGAAATGCAGGCTGTTATCTTACGTTTGCTTGTCATTCTTCTCAATTAAACACGTCTCAATACTGTTTAATCTCTTATTAAGTAAACTTGCGTGAAATAGTGCGTTTTTTTCTGTAAACTGCCAATCTTTTACTGTTCATTTTGAATCTTTATTTACAGTCTTTCTCAATTTCAAGCTGCTTTTATAGAATATAAATCAAAAAATTCTGTATAAAGTTTTTAATGTTATACTGGTTATTTTTTGATGGGTATGACGTCACCATCCTGTTTATTTCATATTGATATATATCCGAAGTATCCAGATTTTGTCTATATATTATCATTTATAAAACTTGAGAAACTATTTTAATATTTCACCAGTTAATTAAATGATTTAATCCAAGAATAGATATACCTTTTTGCTTGTATTTATAACAGTCACAGCATGTAAAATTATTGTAATCGTTGAATACTCAAAGCATGCAAGTAGTCCATTGAAAAAGCAAACAGCATGTAACAATAGTAATGCTGATTGAAATTTTAAACTTTTGTACTAATAAGAAATTATTTTTCCTAGTTTTTATGCAGAAAAGTAAAGGATAATGTGTAGGAAGAAATGAACGTTTCTTTTATTCCAACACATTAAAGCAAAAGGAGTTATTCTAAGATTTGCTCTCATTTCGTTAATTTGAATCACAAGAAAAATTTACTGCGATTTAAGCTTAATTTTAAACATGGAAGATGTGGGAGCATTAGTATCATGCATTCAAGTGATTTATAATTACATTTAAATGATTTTTTTTAACACAATGTTACATTTGAATACTTCGAAAAAGTATTTTGTGAGCATTGTGAATCATTACGTACACGAAGCAGTAAATTTGCACAAAATAAAAAATTTATCACTAGTATCAGAACAAGTAATATTAGTAGATGATTTACGGTGTAGCACAAAAATTTTGAATTTTTATACGTGTAATGTATTTTGGTAGTGAAATTTATTTCAAACTTTTATTGCATAAAAAGTTGTAAAGTTGATTAATAATCAGTTAGCAGTTGATTTCTGTAAATACTTGAAAAAGTAATGAATATTACAGACTAATTATTAATGATTAACTGAGACGCATCAAGCAATAAAATTTTATCAAACATTACTTTACTTTAACGATACTATATATATTTGAAAAAAATGTGCAACAAATACGTACAACAATGGATAGAAGTGAAAATAGCTATTGTATTTAAAAACAAATCATTAGATACAAAAAAAATTACTAAAAATGTTATTTTATCTCAAATACAAGCAATAAATTGACTTAATAAATAATAAAGGTGATAGATTAAGATTGTTTACAAAATTTAAAATATTGGATTAAAAAAAATGAAAGTAGACTAGCAATAGACCCAAAAATAGAACAAACCATCATTAGCTTAATTGCAAAAAGGACTATGCGAGAAAATAAATGAACAAGGTAGGCGGTGAAAATTTGTTATAGAAGCATTTTCAAAATTAAGCCTAAATAATTAGTCCATTAACTGATTGCTTTTAATCATATTATATGATAGTGAATCAAATTTAAGCATATCCTTTAGAAGGCCATAAGAGTAGAAATATTCCGCTCTCTTTTGCATAAATTTCAAGTCTGCTTTTGCTACTCTGTTCATTGCATTTAGTGTTACATTTTAGCATCAGTAAATATTGTACCCATTATTTTGTACAGAACCTTATATATTGCATATAATCTCAGTATGATATGCACACACTAACAACGAATTGATAATTAAGCTATTTTATATATATATATATATA